GGGCCGCAGGGACATGCCGGTTGCTTCTGGTCACTTCGCGGAGCCAACCAGACTTAATGGCCTGGCAACCCGCCCCCTGCGGCGGAGCAAGCCAGCGCTCGCGGCTCCAGTCCAGCGGGGGGGAGGAAGGGGGGGGGGGGGCGTCGAGGCTCAGGGCCTCTGGCCTGCAGTGTGGAGACTTGCTGCAGGCCGGCTGAAATGAAGCAGAGGCTGGATCCAGCCTGCAGGTTCCCCACCCCTGAACTATAAGTTAACACAGAAACCGAGCCGAGGTCCATCTAGCCTGGTTGCCCACACTACATGCAGGAGGCAGTTCTGGGACGATCTGCTTTGGGGGGAAGGGGGGGTGTCTCTGACCCCGTTAGAGGCTGGCTGATGCCTGGGACCGGGATGGTTTCCAGTGTTCACTGTCCAGCCCAGGATCTGCCAGCTGCTAAGCTCTCGGCCCAGTGACAGCTGTGGCAGTAAAGTTTCACAGGCCAGTCGCACATCACCTTCCCAGAGGTTTCCTACTTCTCCCAGGGCTACCCAGGTCAAAAGCAGATTGACGAGGACACTCGTTTGAGGGCTGGGACAGGCAACGTTAGCCCCAGTCCAGCAACCATGCGAAGTTTGGGATTCTCATGCCCCACCAAAGCTGGAAGTGTCTAGTGCGGGCCCCACTGCAGCTGGGAATTCTCCCCTCGCATGGGGGGGGGACGGAAAGCACCGGTGTACAGCCCCTTACAGCACCCCACAGAGCCCTAGGAAGCTCGCCAGAGGACCCCTGGAGACCCAGTTCTCCTGCCCTGCTCCATCCCAAGAGCGGAACGGCTGTAGGGTCACTTGGACCCCTAGCCTCCCATCTGGCCTCACAGAGCTCCACTTAGTGGATTTCAGGGCAGGGATTTGTCAGGAGCAGGTATTGGGCAGGGTAGTGCCCCGTTGGATCTCCCAGGCCCTAGAGGCTGCAAGAGTCATTCAACACATGGGGTGTGGGGAGGTGACTCGCAAACTAGTGCCAGCAAAGCCACGAGCGGTCTACGGGGCAGTACTGCACGAGCTCCCTTCCCGCCCCCGGTCTTTTTGAAATCTAGACGTGGCAAGCAGAAGCGTTGGTGCAGGCATCAGTCGCCGTCCCGGCCTGCCCAGCGCTGCCCTGCCCAGACCCCAAGGGCCATTTCCACAGTGCTGGGACAGCCCAACTCCGGCACCAGGCCCCTCCGACTGGTCCTGCTGGGGCTGCAGCTTGGGCTGGGGCTACCTCCTTCACCCAGCACCTCACCTGTCCTCGGGCTCCTCTCCCACCTCCTGCTCCCTGCAGCTCAGGCTGCCAAGTTCCCCCAGGCCCTGGTCTGACTGCCCCCTGCCCACCCTCCCCTGCCCCACCTGAACCTCCCCCAGCCCACAACTGCACCTGGCCCACCCCATGGGCCCCCCAGGCTGCTCCTCTCACCAACACCACTTCTCAAAACGGCCCCCTCCCCACTCCCAGTTCTCCTCCCCCCAAGCAGCCCCCTCTGCCAACCTGCACTGGGACCCAAGAGGTTAAGGGCGAGGGCTGCTGGGAGTCTTCCAGGTGGGGGTGGGGGAGGAGAGGCAGGCCAGGCCATGCTGTTGCCACTTCAGTCTGGGCCACGGGCCAACACCGCCACAAACAAAACAAAGCCACAAGCTGGAGCCAGAGCAAGCACCAGCCACTCCCTGCAGGGAGGGCCCGGTGCAGCCGCTTAGATGCCAGCCCCAGCATTACTGCCGGCTCCCTGCTCCAGGCACTAGCCCGGGGGGCACCAAGTGCTCAGGGGGGAACTAGCTGCCTGATGGTCTCCCTTGGGCCATTTGGGTCTTGGCCAAAAGGATCCTTCCACCTCCACCACGGAGCGTGCAACAGAGCCAGCCCCAGGCCTCCGAGGAGCCCTGGAGCTCGCAGGCCAGAGACCCGCTGCGGGGCGCTGCTAGGAGACGGCTGCTCCACCCCGAGCCGCGCAGCAGCTGCCAGGCGCGCCTCACCTCCACCAGATGGTTGTCTGGTCCATACAGCTCCTTGTCCAGTTCGATGACGAGGCTCTTGAAAAAGGAGGAGAACTTCCTCTTCTGCTTACTCGGCTGAAAGAGAGGAACCGCTGCAGTGCTCGGCCTGCCCTTCCCCAGGGCCGGGGGGCAGGAGTGCAGCAGGCCATAACCAGAGCCCCAGTCCTCAGACAGACAGGGCGGGGGCTACACAGGCAGCGCCTCAGCTGGCTGCTCGGAGATGGTTGTGGGCACATCAGAGCTGCCATTGGTGCTGTGGGGCCCAGGGAGCACAGAGCTGTGCCAGGCCCTTATCAGGCTCCAGTGACACATGGGGCACAGGGAAGGGGGGCTGGGAGTTTGCAATGTCAGGCTGTGGAAGGGGTGCGATGGAGAGGCCCTACACAGCTAGAAGTGAAGGGCCACTCTGGGGGAGGGCTTGGGAACCTGTTCGCACATGGGGGGGGCAAGGGGGTGCTGCCGGTGCTGTGGGGCTCTGCACAGAGTACCAGGTGCCGTGTGGACATACACAGCCTCCCTCACAGCCAGGTCAGACAGGCCAAGTCCAGAACCCAGGCAGGGCCAGCGCTGCTCCCTGTCCCGTGGCTATCAAAGGGAAGATCTGGGCTTTGAGAGGCTCCGAACATGGGTGGGGATAGACGGGGGCTGAACAGCTGCAGGGACAGTTCTCAGCTCCCCCGTGCGGCACCAGCCGGCGTGGAGGCTGCCAGGCTGGCAGTCAGTGTCCTTACATCCTCCAGGAGCTTGCCTTCCACGCGCAGCTCCCACGAGGCCACGCGCTCGCTACCGTCCCCCTCCTCCTTGCCCGGGGTGAAGGTGTTGGAGATGTAAATCCGCAGCTTCCGCTTTTGCTGCAGTGCAGAGAGAAACAGAGGAACACTCCAGTTTCAGCGAGCACCCAGCACCCACCCCAGAGCCTCTCCCTACAGAGACCCGCTGCCGGGAGGGGGAGCACCATCTCCCATAGCCATCGGGGAGGGGGCAGGAGAGAAGCATGCACACAGGAACCGACAAGGCCAGACCTTGGCTGCAATCTGCCCGTGCTGCCCCCGAGCTGCACAAAGGTCTATGAAACTGCTGCTCGGCTGCACGCTCCTCTTGGTCCCAGCGGGCTGGAGAGCCACCTCCTCCATGCGTATCTCGGGAAGGCCCGGGAGCGAGGTGGGCCCCATTCAGATGGGGCAGCTCCATCCCCTATTTTTGCATGTGGCTCATGGCTATATGTCCTTCCAGTAAGAGTTGGATCACAAGCAGGGGCTGCCCAAGCAGGGGCTGTCACGCACCGTGAGGGGTTTCTTGATGGCCTCCTGGATTTCCATTCTCTTCCGGGCAATGGTCTGATCCAGTTTGCGCTCAAAGGCGAGAAGGTCCATGTAGGCCTGAGACTCTGGGACCAGCTCCCGGATCTACCAAACAGAGAGCCCATCACAGAACCGCCGTGGGCCCGCACTGCACGCCTGCCCCTTCCCTGCAGGGACGGCTTGCCGGTCTCCGCCCTCACCAGGCCGTGCACACCTTACGGCTCGCTCCCCCCATACCCTACAGCAGCAGCTCCCAAGTCACGGTTCTGAGCCCAGAGTCACTAGCACCACGGAGCCCGGCAAGGTGGGAGCCCAGCTCGGCCTTGATGCCATTTGGAAAAGCTGTCCAGTACCGCAGACAACCCCCGGGACACCCTGAAATCCCCACCCCAGCTGAATGGGCCTGACCACCATGACCTCAACACCCCAGCTCACATCCCCACCCACAATGCCTGGGGTGTCTGGGGCTAGGTATCCCAGCTGTCCAGGCCCTGACTAACACTCTACAGCTGTGCGGCTCGCCCCAGCAGGCGGGCGCGAAGACAAACCTTCCCCACAGTCCATCTCTGAGGCCTGGTCTACACTACGACTTTAATTCGGATTTAGCTGCGTTAATCCGAATTAACCCTTCACCCGTCCACACTACAGAGCCAGTTAATTCGAATTAAAGGGCACTTAAAATCGATTTCTGTACTCCACCTCGATGAGCGGAGTAGCGCCAAAATCGATTTTGTTAATTCGAATTAGGGTTAGTGTGGCCGCACACCACCGAATTAATGTGGTTAAATTAATGGGGTAGTGTGGCCGCACACCACCGAATTAATGTGGTTAAAAACCGAATTAATGTGCTTAGTGTGGCCGCGCACAATCGAATTTATACAACCTGTTTCCCAAATTCGAATTATCTAAATTCGGATTAATCCCGTAGTGTAGACATACCCTGAGGATGTCATTTCGTTCCGGAGTAGCGTCACTGCACGCGTGCCCAGCATGGGCCTGCAATGCACCTGCCAAGCACTCCAAGCCGGGCGCTCGCCAACCAGGGCTGGCGGCACGTTCCTGCCCCCATGGGCACTGCCACCCAGCTCGGAGCCTGCCTCTCCACTCTGCAGCCAGCCTAGGGCTCAAGCCCAGCAGGTGATCTCGCACCGGCGAGGGACGGGCACACCAAACACCCCAGTGGAATGGCCTTTGTCAACAAGACCAGAGGCTCAGAATGGGAACAACTGCTCAGGAGCTCCAGCAGGGCTCTCGAAACCAAGGCACTGTTGCTCTCCCCCAGCCCCACCCTGGGTAGCCCCTAACCCATGGGCATCATCTTCCCCTGCTGCTATAGAGGGCACTTCACCTCCCCTCATCTCCACCCCACTGAGGGTGCCTCAAGACCCCGGGCACATAACAAAGAGAAACCATTCCTCCTACAATTCCCATTCCACTGGCATGAGTACACCCCACTCCGGGGCTGGGGCCAGGTACCCTCGCTCAGCAGGGAAGCAGCACTTACCCTCTGTGGTAGGACCTTGTCCGCCATCTTCCTTCTTTTCAGCCTGCAAGCAGCACACAGAACGGCAGCATTAGGTGAGCGCAGGCTGAACTCCTGAGCAGCTTCTAACACCCACGTCAGACCAGAGACCCATGCACTGGGGCTCTGCAGACACACACACACACACACACACACACACACACCACCCTGCCCCTCAGCACTGCCTCATTTGTACCACAGCTTGTTATTGGTCACAGTGGCCTGCAACTCCAGTAACTCCAGCCTGGAACTCAGAGGGTCACAGCAACTCTCGAATCATGGAGAGTCAGCCACCGAGCCAGCCCTGAATCCCCTGGAGACTCCACTCCTTGCTGAGGGCACGAGAATCAACCAAACAGATCTGGAGTTTCTAGGCCACGCCGTCTCCCCGGCTCAGGAGTGCACAAGACACATCACAGATTGGTCAGTCAAGACAGCTCGTAACAGATGGGGGTTGTGACCTGAATGCCCCCAAGCTTGGGTCTAGCTACCTCTATGCACCGCCGCAGCGCTCTGGCTAACAGCAAGGGGCAGGATGGGGAGGGCGGGGAGTATCCCAGCACCTCCCAACATCCTCCAAGAGCTGGACGTTTCTGCTGAGGCAATCAGCAAAGCAGTTATTGTGGACACTTGAACTGTCCTCGTTAGGTTTCAGAGTTCGGATCATGCTGCCCTGAGGCACCTCGGATCCTATGATGATGCCCTCTCTGCTGACCGTCAGCTGGTGGCTGAGAGGAGAGGTCAGCACAGGAAGCCGGGAGGTCCAGTGTTTGGAGCTGTAGCTCCGACAAATGTACCTGCCCCTCTGGGAAGGAGGCAGAGCGAGGGAGGGGGCTTCTGGACATTTGCCTCCTGCACCACCTCAGGCTGCTGGGGAGCCCTGGCCCAGTAGATCTGCAGCGAATAAGGGAGCAGAGCCAGTGCAGTGTATGCCATGGGTCAGAGCGCAATGCCATGCTGCCCATCCTTCAGAGGCCGAGCTCATGCCATGGGAAGGGGTCCCTCGCTCCACCTTTCCTCCCCCCGGCCCAGGCCTGGCTCGTGCTGTGGAGATCACAGGAGGTAAACGAAGGACTCTCAGGGGTTTTCCCCCCAGAAACAGGGACACTGCCGGCAATCGGCTGCTTTCACGCCCCTCATTCAGCCAGCTGCATTTCCCCATTTATCTAAATTCCACCTCTGCTCAGGAACCTCACCCAGACGCACAGAGCCAGTGATTCCCCTGAGTGAGTCTCTTCCCCAGATGCCGGCAGCCAGCTCTGTGACAGCATGGAAACCTGCATCGATTCCCAGAGCACAGGAGCTCTGGCCTCATACAGTACAGCTGGGCTCTGCTAAAGGGAGCTGCAAAGCTGGGGTAATGCACCTTCATTCAGGTTTTGAAATAACCCGGGACCCAGGGCGCAGCCTCCATTAGACCCACGAGAACCTGCCCTGGGGCCCCTGAGAAACAATCAACAAACCCTCATGAAAACAGAAACAGAGCAAAGCGATTAACAGCACTGTAAACAACTCCGGATGTGCTGGCACGGCCGCTCGGCTCGAAAGGAGGAAGAGGCCAAGTGAACGCTGCGTGCCAGAAAGCTGGCTGCCGCAGGCCCTGACTTCGGCTATCAGCCTCCAGCCCCACAGCAATCCCCAGAGGGCTTCCCTCTGCTCAGCCAGCAGCGTGGCAGGGGCGTGGGGCAGACACACCATAAAGCCCCTCTCAGGAGAGATCCAGAGCTCCCATTGCATCTGGGCGCCTGCCAGAGCAGGGTGACAGCAGGAGCCCCACTCACACCAACATTGCTTTTGTGGTGTTTGTTTGGGGGGGGGGGGGGGGGGGGGCACAGTTCTCAGAGCCCTGTGCCGCTCAGGGGGCGATTAGCAAGTGACAGGCACTGGATCCCCACAGCTCCCCGCAAGGGCACTAGTTGGGGAACTGGAGGCAGAGGTAGATCAGGGACGTGCTCCCAGCCTGGAGCCCTTGGCAGAACTGGGGTTGGTTGGGATGCAGCGGCCCAGGCCAGAGCCAGCGCTCTAACCACCCCGTCCCCATCCCGAGGTCAGGCACATCGTCACCAGCACGGACACCCTTACCCTCGCCTTTGGCTTGCCAGGGGGGGCTGCGCCTGCGGAGCCAGCAGGCGCTTTCGAAAGGGATCCATGATCGACTGTGGCATTCCTGGTCGCATCGGAGAGGCTGCTCCATAGGGGGGTCCTGACGGGGATCCCACCTGCAATCCGGTCATGGGCATCCGGCTCCCCGGCGGCATCCCAGGACGCTAGCAGGAGAGAAGGAGACACGGTTACCTTGGCAAGCCTCCTGCTGGGCTCTAGCAGGCCACACGGCCCAGGAGTCTGTGCACCCAGCTGCTTGCGGCACAGAATGGAACATGCAGGCGCTGGGAGAACACCCCACTCCATGCACTCACGGGGGAGGGCAACGGCGCAGAGCAGTGGCACAGCCAAAAAGTGACGGAGGAGGGGCAGTTGCACAAGGTGAGGGCTCCTCGACATTCGGGTTTGACCCAGAGATAACTAGTTGCTAATCAACTCCTAAGGCTAGACTGGAGACACTGCAAACACCTGTGTTTTACCCTAGGCTGAGCACAGAGCGCTGGCCCCTGCTGAGCGGCAGTGTGGGGGGAGCACGGAGCACAGTCAATCCCTGAGCTGCAGCATGGGAGGGGGGCGCAGAGCGGAGTCACGCACGGAGAGGCAGCGTGGGGGGGCCCGGCTTGGGGGCCCAGAGAGATGTCACTTGCTGAGATGAGGGAGCACAGCGACATCACCTGCTGAGCTGCAGTGTGGAGGGAGGGGCCACGCTGTCTGAGCTGTGGGGGGGTCACAAAGTGCCATCATGGGTTGAGCTGCAGCTTTTGCTACTCTAGAAAATACAAGCAGGGAAGTGGAACAGAAAATGCAGAAGTGCAAGCCGCAGGGAGCACACACACCCCGCTAACGGACTTGTCAGTACATGGGAAACCCCCTTTGGGGTCTAGGCAGGTTCCACCACAGGCCTGGCCACTTTCACTTCCCTCTGGGAGGAGGAGGGGGACACAGGCTCAGCACAGAACGAGGCTCCCTGCTCTGGGACAGGCCCTCCCTGCAGTAACTAGGCCACCACGCTGATTCCCTACCACACGGGAGCAAGGGCACCACGGGATGCGCACCCCGAGACCCATATCGCACTCGGCAGCTACTGGCGGGAGGTTCTGGCTCCAGACTGGCCTGGTGCCTGCCCGAGTGCTGCAGCGCCTTGGCTCAGGGCACACAACGGCCTCTTAAAGCATGGCAATGGCCTTCACACGGCTCTGGTTATGAGTGCCACGTGCCCAGAGGGGGTGTGCATGGCTCAGGGCGGGTGCTCTCTCCTGACAGCCCCAGGACCAGGGAAAATCCAGTTCCCTAACGGCCCATTGGCCCACTTACACGGACCTTTAGGCAGGCGGTATCTGATTGGGTGACAAAGGCTGCACGGGGGCCAGGGGGGTTTGTGGGACATTAAATGAGCCCTGACGACCCCTCAGGAGGTACGAGCTTGATCCTGTGACCTCTGGCCTCATCTCGCGATCCCCCCGGGGATCCAGCAGCGCATTCCTTGGAGGCTGTAAGCCCACAACTTCATGCCTCAACCTCCTCTCCAGGATCCACCTTCACACAGAGCCGGGCCCAGACAGGTACGATCCAGGGCACCCAGAGCATTGCATGCTGGGACCCGCAGCCTCTGCCGCAGCACTGCTGCGCTGCACACAAGGCTGCAATTGACCTCATGTTACCTACATGAAGTGCAGCCCTTGGGTGCTTGACAAACTGCCAGCGTGGCCGCTGGCTGGCCAACGCCGCAGGGCTCCCTGGTTTGTTTGGTCTGCTTTCCGAGATCTCAAGAACGGGCTCCCTAATGCCAAGGAGGTTGTGTGGTTGGGAAAGTCACCAAGCCAGCAGGACAACATTTCATTGCTGCCGGCAGCTCCAGAACATGCCGAGACAACACCCACTGTTCCCCGGCTGCTTTCGCTTGGGCCCTGCATGTGACGGATGGGGTTGGAGAGCACGGAAGGAAAACGGACTGAGCCGTTGTGTGGGGAGCACTCCCTCCAAGGGAGAAGAGCTCGGGGAACTGACTCAACGTAAGAGCCGCGTAACGGACAAGCAGCAGTGCTGCTCAGGGGCTCAACAGGAGCAGCTGCCGGCCCTGATGCGTAAGGCACCTGGCACACTCGGCCACCAAACACAAAACCTCCTGAACAGGGATTTCTGCTCAGCCTGCCGCAAACACAACGAAACCCTGCAATAAAACAGAGAGGGACCCGTTTGGCTGGGCTGAGGCTCTCTGTTCCAGATGTGCACTCTGGAATGACCGTCGGGGTGCACATCACGGCCAGGTTTTGTACAGCTCTACATGACTACATGAGCTTGTCTGCATATAGCCAGAACTTCAGCTTGACGTCGGGTGATGTAGCGAGCGTTGGAGAGCCCTAGTTACTAAAGCCCTCTCCAGAACAAGCCTCCTACACACACTGCCCAAGGGGGTGAGACACTGATTCTAAGCGTAACAGGAGCAGTTCAGTCTCCATGGCTCACACAGTTGTCGACCACTCGGCTGAGTTCACCAATTAGCATAAAGTCTGGGTTTGGACTGGGGGAACGGGAACTGAGTCCCACCCAACTCATCTCCTAGAGAAGCCAAAGAGCCATTAAACAGGCACAGTTTCTACTCCCTGCTCAGCTGGGCTGGATGCAAACTGGTGAGCTACAAGTGAAAGGTTCTGACAGCTGCTAGATATGCTCGGAGGCCTCCAGTTTCTCAACAAGTGCCAACTTCACAGGAGGGCCTATAAAAATATTGTAAAAGTCCACATTTAAACACGTTAAGATTGCAAAGTCAGGCACCCAAAGTTAGCAAGTGCCAAGATTAAGGCTGCCCAGGCAATCGTAATTCAACCCACATGTAATTACAGACTTGTCACAATGCACAATCACATTTTTTTTCCCCTACATGGGCTGTCAACACACTGGAACCCAGGACCTTCAGATCCACAGTATAGACCTCCTCCACTTGAGCTAAAGGAGCAACTAGTAGCAGAAGTAGGCTGCTGCCCAACGGGCCATTACCGTTTCACAAACAGTTGTATAATCTCCTGGCAAACTGTCATGGTGCCCTCTTGGGGCTGGTCCACAGAAGAGTATCAGAATTCCTAGGTTATATTAATGGCTCTAGAGTAGAGCATGGCACAGGGTTACAGACAGGATAGACAAGCACATAAATGTGGCACATTCATTCCGACAGGCACTGTGGCAAATGGATAAGCCTTAGTTCTATCTTACTAGAGATCTGGGCTCTATTCATAGCGCTTCCTGAAGTCACCTTGGGCAATCTTCCAGTTACCCCCATTGTGAAGTATGGGGAATTCCAGTCGCCTAGATTCTAACATTTAATTTCAACAATTCCACCTGTCACTGAAAACACAGAACAGAATGAATTCTAAGGGGCAATGCTTGTGTAGAACTTGCACAAAATTAATTCATTTTGCTTCCGATTTCCTTTGTTGGCACTACCCAGCAAGCTGAACAATATTCCCAAACGGAGAGCAATCACCAACTAGATTGTTAAACGAACTGCTTATCATTTTACCTGGTAAATAAAATGAAGCTGTTCTGGGGACATTTATGGGCCTTGTTTGGTGGTTTCCAGCTCCCCCAGTTGGGCCCACTCCTCGCACATTCTCTCACAGCACTGTTGCCGCTTTCTCGCTCTGCTCCCTCCCCATATTTCTTAATTTCTCTTCCCCCATTTTTCCTCTCCTGCCCTGCTAACTTCCCCTCTTTCCCCCAACTTGCTTAAAGGACAGATGCTGCGGAGGATGGAGAGCAGCCAGCCGCTGATGGTTCTTGTGACTGAGGTGGTGCTGTAGGGGGGGGAAAGGCAAGAGAAGCTGGAGCCAGTGGCCCCATCTTAAAGTGCATCTCTGCTCTGATAAGCAACAACGTCAAGATGGCATCATCAACAGATCCCCACACAACCCCCCACGCGGGCACTGAAATCAGATCTGCTGGCTTTAGAGACACAAATCAGTTTTACTGCTTTTTACTCCGGATTGCCCTACACAGTCCGCACAGGCAGGAATCTATTCCTTCTTGGACACCACCACCACAAAACGTTTCCCTTGTTCCAGTCAGTTCCACTTGCACAAGCCCAGCCGCCCCCGAGCGCTCTCAGTTCCTTCTTGCCGGCCAGCTCTGATGCAGAGGGGTAGGAGGGCGGGCCGTGGAATAGACATGTGCAACACATCTTGAATAACAAGTTACAAAAGGTTAGTAACCGTTTTTTCTTTTCGAGTGATTGCACATGTGCATTCCTCTTTCAGTGACTCACAAGCCGTAATGTGGGAGAAGGGATCGGAGTTCACGTGCACACAGACTGGAGTACAACTCGTCCAAATTTAGCATCGTCTCTGGAATACTGAGGAATGGCATAAGGGGATGCGAAGGTGTGAACTGAAGACCAGCCGCTGCTCTACGAAGGTCCTGGTTAGGGACTTGCACAAGGAATGCCGTTGTGGCTGCCTGTGATCTTGTGGGACGTGCTATCGGTCTCCCTGGCAGTGAAACGCCTGCCAGGTCATAAACATGAGTGCAGGAAGTTCCAAGATGAAATTCTTTGCAAAGGGAGCGGGAGACCCTTCATTCTGTCTGCTATGGCCACAAGTAGTTGGGCTGACAAACAAAACTGTTTAGTCCTGTCTACGTAGAAAGTCAACGCTCTTCTGACACCGGAGCTGTGCAAACACTGCTCCTCTCTATTGGCCTGTGGTTCTGGGTAAAACGCAGGTAAGTAAACTGACAGGTTAATATGAAAATTAGATACCATTTTAGAGAGACATCTCGGAGGAGGGTGCAAGTACACCTTGTCCTTAAAGATCGTATAAGGCAGTTTGGCCCCCCTCCTGTAGCTACCCAGAAAGCTTTCTGGCTGGGGCTGCAGGGTACCATCCCAAAGACTTTAGAGTGGTTCTAGAGCCCCTCAAGCCATGGAGCTTAGACTCAGTTTGCTGCAAAAACAGCAACGCCACTTCCAAGGGCAGGTGCCGTAAAGTCTGTTGGACCTCTTGGGGAAGCCCCGTGGCTTGCAGCCAAGAGCTCCCAGGTGCGGCCACTGCAGAAGCCATGGACCTAGCCGCCGCGTCTGCTGCATCCAGCGCAGCCTACAGAAAACATCTCGCTACAGATTTCCCCTCCTCAACTGAGGAGAACTCCCACCTAGCGTCTCCAGCATCACGTC